GACGACGACGAGAACGATGACGACGAAGATGACGAACGTGGCAGCATCGGCGGAAGTAGGAGTCGCGGCGATCAGTCGTCACCGCTACCGCCGCCCACGCCCAACGAAAACGGTAAGTCCCGAGACATATTATGATATCGATCTGCTCGATTGTATTTTATTATATTATTCGAAAGTGACCCCCAGTGCTTGAATTGAGGGGGCTCGAGGGGTATGAGTTTCTTTTATTTTTATAAAGTAATCTTGCGATTCTCTTCCATAATAATGTCCTAATCCATGATAATTAAATATTCAGTTACGAACATTTTTTTTTTTTAACTTTTTTACCGCCCCTTTATAATTTGTTCCCAATTCAAGCATTGAATATTTTTTGCCGTTCTCGTCGAGTCTCGATGATCTTTTATAATATTTTCATGACAATTTTGTGCCTGCATACTTTTTCAATTTTTTTGGACCAACTGTTATGTCGCCATCTATTCCTGCGGCACCTGTTAATTATGGCTATTTAGCATAGGCAAATATTGCAGATCGTGTGTGCGACGTCGAAGTGTGTCCGCGTCWCATCGACGATGGGTTTTACATCACAATATTCAGAATGGTCGTCGCTCATATTGCACGATATTTAGAACAAGGGCACTACGATATTATTATAATTAGCGATCGTTTAGTAACGACACGTCAATTAGTCATGGTTTAATGGTTCATATCGAAAATCCGACGCTTACATGTCTCTCTCTCGGGAGTTATTTCCGGTGAATGAATAATATCATCATGTTTTCCCGAATATTCGTCAATCGCGTTACGTCATAAGTCGACATAATAATATTATAATTATTATACCCTGTAGTCATGGTAAGATGATGAGATATACCTGTACGGTTATAATATGAGATGCGACGAAACAATTGGTTGTTAATAGTCTCCGCGACTATGTGTATCCTTTTTAATTAACCAATTATTATTATTATAACATAATAATGTCATAGTATTCCTTCTAGACGCGCCTGCAAGGACGTGTTATTTCATGACTATTATTGGAAATCGTGCCATATTGTCCATTAGGATTGATTGACATTTCTGCTGGTTGATATTCTGTATACTATTTTCCCACAGTCTCAAATTTATCTCAAACTCTACTGTAATATTATGCAATGATTAATAATATTGTGGATATTTATGTCTATAGTTCGTCTACTACCTACTTAATTTTGGAAACGAATTCAATGGGAATTTGTGTGTATACATAATTTATTKTACTATTATATTCTATTGATTAACACGATAAATAATTCACAAACTTCAGTTTGATCCTGGTGAATATAAAATTAAATAGGTACTTAAGATTAAAAAAAAATAGCATTTCGTAGAAAATCTATTTTTACGGTATACGGGTTTGAATGTAATCATTATWATACCCGTCTACATTTCCCAAATTCTAAATACAAAATTAGAATAATATACCTAAATGAGATTGATMGATTATTTGAGACGGCACGTGTACATAAAACGTGAAATTACGATTAGATATTTTGATATGGCTTTAGAAAATTAGTTTCATCATGGCCAATTACATTTAACAATATTATTTTTAAAACTTCTCAATAAGAATAGGAAAATTGAGATCCAATTAATTGAATAATTTATTATTATATATTTTATAATTCGCATTCAATAATAAATTGATAACAATGTAATTTATTAATAGTATTTTTCGTGGGTATTGCTATACCTACGATGTAAATTTTTTATTAACAAATATACTTTTTATGCATAATTAAATTACGTAAAAAGTTGAAACTATATTCGTATTTTAAACATTATAAGTATGAAATAATCAGGATATATCATTTATTTTTATATTATAATTTAAGTGTATTTAAATAAATTRTTTGATGTACACATCTTAATATGATTTTTTATAGCATGAGTACAATTATTATTGATATAAGTGCGTACAACAAATAGATAGTTTGTTACCTATATAATCAATTTATAACCATAATAATAAATAAAATATAAACATTACCTTTTAAATGCATATTTTATTYCTTGAAATTAGTTCAATTTTATTTGAATTTAAAAATTTACTTCTTAATGAACTACTCAAACATATTTCATGAAGCATAATGAATGATAGTGTATAGCCGTGAAGATATGTAAATATTATATTTTGATGTATATTTTTAAAATACCCTATAAAAAATAAAATAAGAATCTGTCTTGTTTTCATACGAATTTTATTATTTTATATAATTAATTTGATCATTATAATTCATAATCTATACAAAAATGCAGTACTATTTCAGTTTAAATAGTTTTGTTTATGATATAACATTTCTTTATTTTAATTATTATTCAAATTTTTTCTGAAGCAGTTAAAAATCGCATTAATTACAATGTTTCTTTATGTTATACTATCATATTTATTTGCATTTCATGTATGAGTTATTACTTTACGGTTCACCTGTTTTAATTTTATCATTATGAATTCTTATGGAGATACACACACAGGAAAATAGGTAATTATATGCATTTTATCTCGTGCGCAGATTGTGTGAATTACAAACATCCATCATAAAATAATCTTGCACATATCGTATTTAAATCCATAAAATGTGTACTTATTATAATAGAAATGAATAATATAGTTGTTGCACTACAAAACAATAAAAAAAAATGTATGTTTATATTTCTCTCATGTTCTTTGACGCGATTCTCAGTAAAAACTAGAAAATATAATATAATTACGAAATGAACTACGCACGCGTGTGCAATATCGTGTAACTTCAGTTTCGCTCCGTTTTTTTTGTATTTTCGTTTCATCGGGTAACGTCTCTTACAAATTATAAAACTATTAAACTCTAGTTATATTATACTAGTATGCCCGGTTTACATTTTTACGTAGTTATCGCTGTATTATTGTGCTTATAAGTACTCGGTTATAATATTATTATTATTATTATTATTATATTCGCTATGTAATCCGTCTACGACATAATTATTGTAATTTATAAGCGTATAATAAAATATTGAATTGCAACTACGACGTAGGTGTGCAGTATTAAAAAAAAAAAATACAACACCCGAGAAGAATTTATACTCGTCGTCAATCGCAAATACCACAGGTTAACCGCGTTGTTGACCGCAAACATCGTGTCAAACTGCTTAACCATATTATCTAAGCTGGTTATTTTGAAAATTTTCCAATAGTTTTTCCTAGATTTTCCCCGTAATGAAAATTAGGTACTCTAAAGTGACATATTCGAAGACCACGGTCCACGGTCGTGCCGATTCATGTATAATATTAGATATTTTAGTATATGGYACCACTTATGCAGAAAYCMTTTAAAATATTAGGTGGTGCGGGCTTACGACTCCKKTCTTTCCGTTACAATAATTAACTCATTTATAGAATTTTTTGTTATKATAACATATCCGACCAAACTAAACAGAATTAATAAAAATATTTTACGGAACTATAWACTATACAATAACTTTTTTAAACTACCCGACTACCGTCTACCTTATATCATGGAATGGTACGTATTAAAATTATTTAAGAACCAAGCTGAGGTGATTTTTTTAGATTGAAGAGTGATATATTGGTGAATTGTATGGACCAGTTTATCTATCTGAAAACGTCTATGTAAAAAGAATGAAAAAATAAAATATAAATAGATATTGTAAAACCAATAGAGCCCTTTGGATTTAAAATAATAATAAAACGTWAATTTAACTCGCATGCATGTGAAATAGTCACTATAATTCATTGTTGGAGGAGRMGGGRGGYCGGYTTCGAATGAACTTGATGAGAGGTTAAGCCGTTAGCCCCTCTTCCCGATCTTTGGGTACCGCAGTTTGTTTTCATTGCAAAATTATCACAAGATACARTGTTGTAACATGCCACTGTAGACGCGAAGGCGCCATTTACTCTATAATCCTATTATAGGTACCGATTGTATTTACCATAAGTGCGTTTCTGGCCACGAGCTCGCCTCGATGGTGTAATACATTACACGCGTCCCTTCCGTGTTATGGAATATACCCCTTTTCGGTATATCTATGGTACCTACACTGCGGACCGTGAGCGGATAGAAAAAAAAAAGAAGTATAGGTAACACAAGTATAGTTATCCGGAAGGGTCGCGCCTCCTGGTTTTTTTCCCCGTTTTGTTTTCCGACGGCTCGCGTCCGCGTAACCCCATCCGACATCCACCCCCCATCGTCATCATCATCATCGCCGACGTCGTCATCCCCGTGCGCCKTCGGTTAGGTCTGCGGGTCCGAATCCCGTGTGCGGATTGTGTAACGGGTTGGGCACGAGGGCTACTTTGTTCGGAAGGGCACACTTCCGCGTCCCCCGCCCGCCCGGCGGTGTAGTACCCATTATTATTGTTACTTTATATATCGCGCGCGCGCCGTTGTAATATTTACACGGTGACTCTCGGGCCGGCGGTCGTGCCCGTGCGCCGCCACCGCCTCGTCCCCCGGACAGATGTTTATAATAATGGTACCTATAATATAATGCACACACCGTCGTCGTGTGTCTACCTCGGCGCGAGAGAGACTCGTAAATTCCCCGGCTCGAGCCAAAACCGTATAATAATAATAGTAATAATAATACAATATCCCACTAAAAAACAATAACGATTAAAAAATAAAACAGTGCGCGTGTCGTCGTTTTTCTAAACACTCAGACGAGGAAACCGCACGTCCCATCAGGGTTAATATGAGAAAAACATATCCGTTCAGACACACACACACACATTTGATCCATCTAGCAGCGGACCTGAAATATGCGCGGGCGTTGCATTTCATAAAACTAAGTTTTTAAYCATTCGACGGTGTAAACGATAAATGTTTATTACATTAGGTTTTGCAGTTATTCGATTTTCGTTTAGTTTTTATCTGAAAAAGTTATCGTCCCACAATATCATTTTAATATTAAACARTATCATCAGTGGTATCAATTATCGCGGACAAGTTGAACTTTGTGGATTTGGGAATAGCGTGTAACTGTCCCAAGAAGTATATTACATCATACACGTCACACGTGTACCGTGTCTCTTCACGATACCGTTCGATATCAACCGTCGTTTGTTTGATTGCATGA